ATTTTCATTCGAAATATATATTTGACTGAAAGGAGTGTTGCAGATAACAACTGGAAAGAATGACAAGGGGCTCAAGCTTTATGATCCAGGATACCTTAACACTGCTCCAGTGCGATCTTCAATTTGCTATATCGATGGTGATGAAGGGATTCTCAGATATAGGGGTTATCCCATCGAGGAGCTAGCTGATGGCAGCTCTTTCTTGGAAGTAGCTTATCTGTTGAGTGAGTGTTTTCCACAGATTTCTTATGTGTTTACATTATTTCAAGGAAAAGTTTCCCTGTGAACTTTCACGGAGATCGGACTGCCTACTTAATAGTATTGACGCCTTCGAAAAATTCTTCCATAGATCTAATATGTATTTGATTAACATTATACTGCCTGAATGATGTTAGATATCTTTAGGTAGCATCCTTTGTTCACTTGCTTCTTTTGAATAAAAAGGGTCCACACTAATGCACTGAGATATGTGATGTTTTCTAGGTGAACCTACCTTTAGTTTAATATTGGAATGGCTACATGTATAGCCTTACTTGTTCAATGCATTGGCAGAGATACCGGTTGAGATATTTGCCAAATTATTGAATTCATTGCTTTCTTAGAGTTCTGTCATCAAATTTTGATTCATTATCTTTATCTCTATGAAGTGTATGGGAATTTACCATCTGAAGCTCAATTGGCGGATTGGGAGTTTGCAGTTTCACAGCATTCAGCTGTTCCACAAGGAATATTGGTAATGCTTATCATACTGCACTGGTGTTTGCCTAGATTTGTTAATTGACATACGTTATTCGTTCTTGATTACGGTGCTTCGTTGTGACTGAGAATACTTGTTTGGTGCCCAACCCTTAGTATTTTCTATTTTCCTTCATTTTGATGGTAGCCATGCTACCGGGTTGCAGTCTACTGTGATAGTGTTTTTGCATGAAGCTGTATGATATGGAATCATTTGATTTCTTTTGCAGGATATCATACAGGCAATGCCCCATGATGCCCATCCAATGGGTGTTCTTGTTAGTGCTATGAGTGCTTTGTCGGTCTTTCATCCTGATGCAAATCCAGCTTTAAGAGTAAGCTTATGTTTAAATTCCCGAGTTCTTATATATCTTCTTTTTGTGTTATGTCCAAATGATGCTGGTATGAAGTTGAGCGTGGAGATCACTGCCACTTCCTGTGTATAGACCCTGCTGTTGCATCTGGATTATTTGTTGCAAATCTGTATCCTGCTGTAATAAATCCCATTGTTTTCCTTAGATATTCTTTTCGGAAGACAAAGTAGCATTTGACTGATTACTTGATAAATCTGGTTGAAACTTTAGATTTTAAATTCCTTCAAAATTCTCATGCTGAGTACTTTTAGTGGTTCTAGGACTCTGAAAGATGATTTTCTTGTTGCTTGAGTTCTTTGTTGTTACATCTTGAATTGAGGTGACTCTTTGATAGAATGATTGTTTTATTCACTTTTCATGTAGGGGCAAGACATATACAAGTCAAAACAAGTGAGAGACAAGCAAATTGTTCGCATACTTGGGAAGGTGATGTCATTTTTGTGCTTTTAACTTATTATGGCCAATGTCATGCTGGGTGTCCATAGTGTGCCTGCTTACTTGTTTCTGCATCTTTCATTATATGAACAGATGATATTGAGTATTAGTGGCAGCAGTATTAAGAGCCTACTAAACATATTTGCAGGTACCAACTATAGCTGCAGCTGCTTATTTGAGAATGGCAGGGAGGCCACCTGTTCTCCCATCAAACACTCTCTCATACTCGGAGAACTTTTTGTATATGCTTGATTCCTTGTATGTTCTGACCTCCTTTTGTTCCAAATGTTTATGTTCTATAAGATAAGATTTCAGTGTTTTCTGTAGCTTAAATGGATATCGGTGTCACTTTCAATTTGAAGTGGAGTCCGGTCACTGCAGTGTAAATTGCATTTTTAAGTGTTATTACCTTTGAAACTTGTGCTGCTCTTCTGACTAATGGTTTTGGCCATGGAACAGAGGTAACAGGTCTTATAAACCAAATCCCCGGCTTGCTCGTGCACTAGATATTCTTTTCGTGTTACATGCAGAACATGAAATGAACTGTTCCACTGCAGCTGCAAGACACCTTGCCTCAAGGTTGTAAATTATTGTCATTTTGAACATGGAGAAATTATTTATTTGATATGTAACTTATACAACTGCATTTGCAGTGGTGTTGATGTATATACAGCCCTTGCTGGTGCGGTTGGAGCCTTGTATGGCCCACTTCATGGTGGAGCTAATGAGGTACTCTGTGTTCTAGTGTTTATGAATTTGCTGAGGAAGTTTTCGTCTTCCAATGGATAGTAATGACATACTATATTAGCATCCTTATGCATTGTTACAAGAAACATAATTGTAGCAAATGATCTATTGAAATCTATTCTGTAGGCAGTGCTTAAGATGTTGAGTGAAATTGGAAGCATTGACAATATACCAGATTTCATTGAAGGTGTAAAAAACAGGTTAGAATCTTTTTGATGTGGTCATCTAGAATCTTTTGATGTGGTCATCCTTTGATCAATTATAAGAAATCTCATTTTTATGGTCTTACTCTGTATTCATTCTTGTACTACTTGTTAGAAAGCGAAAGATGTCTGGTTTCGGCCACCGTGTTTACAAGAACTATGATCCGCGAGCGAAGGTCATCAAAAAACTTGCAGAGGAAGTATTTTCAATTGTTGGTAGGGATCCTCTAATCGAGGTGGGTTTTAGTACTTTCAAGTCAATGTAGATGCATTTTTATTAGAAACTAGATATGACAATGTAGTTGATCCTTGAAACTAATTGCAGTTGGTAATTGGAAAATTTCCTATTTAACAATTAAACGTGAGGAAATCGACTATAGCTTTTCCTGTAACAAATCTTGCTAACCATTTCTCAGAAAACCATAACATGAAAAATCTGCCCTCGCTATAATAGAAATACTTTACCTCCATTCCTTTGTTTTTTAGATGAAAAAGAGGAATTTGTAATGGACGACGGATTGAGAACTGCTTTTCTGTAGAGCTGTGGTTTAGGACTACATTGTCACATAAATGCATGTGACCTGCGCTCTTGCTATTTTGTTTGCTAAACTTGAAAACATGGAATTTTGACTTTATTGCCAGAGCATACAGTTCCACGTATTTTCATGGTGTACATCAATACTTGGAATGGACAATGCCTGTTATACTTCTACTGGTTCATCTATTAAACTCACTTCTAGAGAAGTAAATTTGACATGCATATGTGGTTCTCATGCACCACTTTTATTTGTTTTCAGGTGGCCTTAGCTTTAGAGAAAGCTGCCTTGTCAGATGATTATTTTGTGAAGAGGAAGTTGTATCCTAATGTCGATTTCTATTCTGGTTTAATTTATAGGTACAACTTTGGACAGAAAAA